TTATCCCCCCCCCCAAAAAAAAAAATATGCGATCGATTAGTGTAACTTTATCTTTAAAAAAATAAAAAATTTAAAAAATAAAAACTTTTTTTAGATGATTACAGAAAACAATTATTTTTTTTATTCATTGTTTCATTAAGTTTGTATTATTATCGTTTCTGTCAACATTTCCAAATAACAATAATAATAACATGATTCATTGGCTTATGCTATCATTTCCGTGTTTCAAATTATTATACAAACAAACTCAACATTTTTATTTGAAAAAATACCAAATGTGTTTAAAAGAAGGTTAAGGCCTGTTTCCGCTTCAAAAATAAATATTCTTTAACAAACCTACACAGATGAAGCACACAAGACCAAATAGCTACAACAACAATCTGAGGAATTCGATTGTAAAATGTTTTCGGTTTTTTAAATATTCAATGAATTCATAAAAAAAGGTGATCGTGTTAAAAAGTATTTAGTATAGTGATTTTTTTTCGTGATAAAAATTTTAGCCATACTAGGCTTAAATGTATATTTTTGAAATTAAATTAGTTGGAAAAACGTTAAAAATAACAATTATCTTTATGTTTTGAATGAGTTGAATTAAAAAGAGCATTTAAATATATTAAAAATAAAGTCAATCTATTTTGAATGAGCTGAATTAAAAAGAGCATTTAAATATATTATTAAAAATGAAGACATCGCTGTATGAAATGTTTGTTTTCCTGAGCAATGTGTGCAATTTTAAAATAAAGCAAACTTCCAATTATGATTACAATCTATTTATGAATGAAAAATGTTCTCGATTTAAAATCCCCATCAAGCTAATCTCATGAGGACAAGGGCATTGTTCTTCCGCATACGACAGTCACGTGCTTTATTACTTAATCAAACATCTTTATCACAAAATTCGCTTTCACTCCAATGACCATTGATTATTTGAAGAAGAAAAAGAAGAAGAAAAAAAGACGATAAACCCTTTTTCGCTTGAGCGTGCTCATGATTTTCATCAATTTCTCACTCCATGAGCGCGACTGTCAGCATACCGTAAGAACGAAACATTTTGCTCATGAACTGAAGTGAAGGTGGTATGGGGGAACTGTTGCCACTTATACCGTGACACTGAGAAGTTAAATCATCAATAATAGCCAGTCGATGAAGGATATGCATGATCAACTGAGCAGAACAGCCGGGAATTTCGTAGTCCTTTTTTTTTAGGAAATAAAAATGAAATTGAGCATTTAAGGCAATAAAAGGAAGATAAAAAAAAATTAGGTGCGAAGATCAGCATTGGGAAATATTAAAAGGCAGGGGAATTTGTTACTTTTGAATTATGTTTTAATTTTTTTTTTCCTTAAAAGATGGTAAGAGTTCAGATCCGTTTGTCGTGATACTTGGGTGGGCTTTTTTGTCAGAGTAGGTGGGTTTTTTTCGTTCTATCTGACGACACGGAATTACATATTTTGGTCTCTTTGGTGCTAAAAATGATATTGAAATATGATTTTTTTCCCTTCATTGTATTTTAGGTATTAATTAAAAAACAAATCAATCAATAAAATAATTTTGATGCATTAGAAACCCTGAAATTTCAACGTCAATATTTTACGTAAATTGCGCAAATAAAAAAAGAACTTTTTTCTTTCACTTAATTAAAGTCAAGGTATGCAACATATTGTAATTAAGCCGTAGTGGCTCTAGAGATAGAGCATTATTAGCGGTGGCTAATAGATACGAATTCTGCTTCCGGTGCTGGTGTATAATGTACTCAGTGGTAGACAAATCATGAGTTACAATCCCTTTGTCACCGGGGTAACCGTCAATGATTTCTGGAGTTTTCCTCTCAATGTAACGCAAATGCGAGTAAGCAAAAGGCCTCCACGAAGGCAAGCTTATCTCAATGTTTGATCCAGGAGTTTGCTTGTCTTCTGGGTTGGGTTGAAATTTACAAGGCTACAGAGTTCAATATTGATTAACGTAAACTCAGAATTGGGTCGGCTGTTCAATGTTGGTTATAAAATAAAAAAGATTATAATGTAATTGACAAATGTATTGCAAAATAACATACCTTTGGAAATTTCAGCATAATTTGTTTAACGCTATAAATCGAATTTTTAAAATTCAAAAATAACAATGGAAATAAGAATTAAACAGCCATTTTTAACTCACCAAAAGCTAATTAAACAACTAATGAAAATAATAGTTGTCTTCTAATGCTGCACTATAAATTGTAGGTTTGTCAAAAAAATTTCTTTTAATTTGCAGACTAATGTCTACTCCCTGATTAGCAAATTTCTTCTTTTAGTGAATAATGAATTCACTGATTCACTAAGTTGCCAAGTTAGTCACTCGCTTAATCACAGATTTACCTATTTGCTGATTTGTTCATTCAATAACTTGTTAACGCACTGATTTGCTTTTCACTTAATTATTGAGTCACTAATACGTCGAATCACTGATTCACCCATGCACTCTGATTTGTCCATTTACCACTGATTTATTGATTCGAGAATCTGTTCATAACAGAATTGTATTGTAAAGTGACAGAATACCAATACGATAT